CCAACCTTCGCCTCCCGCTTCGCCAACCTCCACCGCCCATCGCCTCCACCCCTGTCTCTTATACACATCTAGATGTGTATAAGAGACAGGTGTCCCCCCCCCCCCCTCTTCCACGCTGTTTTTTGCATTCTCCCCTTGTCCTTTTTCTTTTCCCCTTTTTTTCGCTTCATGTCCTTTTTCCTTTTGTTTTTCTGTTCTGCCTTTTGATGGCCTTTGAAAAGACATGAAGCGAAAAAAAAAAGGCCCTTTATTTCTAGTGTCGATCACGATGTTTCTGGTGGGGAAGTCAAAAAAAAAAGAAAAAAAAAAGAAGGTAACTCCAAAGGATGTGTTTGGTTTGCTTCGATTTTATTTATTTATTTATTTATAGTTTTAATAATTTTGTTGCCTCCCGGGTTTGATTCGTGCAAGGACCAAGGAAGGTCCCAAAAAAAAAAAAAAAAAGACAAATCCGAAAAAAAACTATGTTATGCAGAAAAAAAACTGAACAACTTTTGCCTCAGGATTACATCAAAATTCTTCACCAAATTTAAAATAAAAAACAAAATTTAAAAATATGTTTTTTATTTTTATTTATTTTTATTTTTTTGGCCCGGCCGGGCAAGTGACCCCGGGCCACTCTGGTAGCCTAGGTAAAAAGTCTCTGAATTTCACCTCACACAACCTACCTACCACTACTAACTATAGTTGTTGCATTAAAAAAAAAAAAAAAAAGGATCGCCTTATTAAGGGTCTTTGTAAAATCATATGGATTTAAAAAATCATATGGATTTAAAAAATCATATGGATAAAAAAAAAAGAAAAGTGAGCTACATTCTTCTCCAGGTTTCACCGTATACTACCTGCCTACCACTACTACTAGTTATTGTTGCTGGTAATTTGCTGCATTTAAAAAAATAAAAAAATAAAATGGATCGCCTCGATTAAGGGTCTTTGCTTTACATGATCAGTATGATTCTCCTGTTAACAAAGAAAATAATAAGTATTTTTTTTTTCACACAGGCCGCGGTGATGGAGATATGACAACGGCCTGTCGAGTAATGGCAGACTTTTCCAAAGATTGACTTGGGTTTGAACTAATCTGAGTTTATTTTATCTTTTATGAAACCCGTCCAACTTGTCTACACCCAAAAAAAAAAAAAAAAAAAGAAAGTATACACCGGCGTTATACAAATGAAGTTGAAGGTTGGCAGGTTCACATCTGTGGTTTAGTCTTGTTACAGGATTTCGTTTTTTTTTTTTTTTTTTTGTTGTTATTTTTTATAAAGGAGTTTCGTAATTCAGTGTGATCTTATTCTGGTCATCTGCTTCGATCTGAATTCGAACTTAGCTCTGTACCAACTGAGCTATACCTTCGTCTCCCGAATACAATGGACGGTCATTATAGCTGTGTAGTTAGACTGACAAATACCCTCAAATACAGCTATAATGACCGTACGTTGTATTCGGGGGAAGAAGGTATGCGCATTGATTGGTATTTGAAGGCACAGGCGCATTGATTGGTATTTCCTTTTTTCAACTTTTTTGTCCTATTTGACTGGTAGAAGTAATTGTTGTTTGGTAAATAATTTTGGTTTTGTCACCCGCTATCGGGAAGTAGTTGGTTTCTGGCTCAATGAATGTTTAAACCGCAAGTACACGGCCCCAGCAGCAGCGAAGTGAAACTGCACATCTAGCTCCCCCACAGCGGAGGTTACAGGATGGCGCTACCCATCCCAGCATGAGCCCGGCGTCCTCCTTCACCGTGCAAGCAAGCACGGATTTGAACCGGCGAGCTCGGGCTCAGCCTTGCAGAAAGTTTTCTTGGCCACAAGCAAAACTCGGAGGGGCCGTGGGGCGTTGTGGGGTGGCGTCGCCGGCCCAGGTTAGAGGGTCCACCTACTGCAATGTGCCCAGCAATCACCTATGCCCCATCTCCCCTACGCACGCTGCACGCTGCTTCACCCCAGTATTTATACCATTTCCAATTTCCATCTTCTAGTTCAAAGATAGCACAAAGCTACCAAAAAAAAAAAAAAAAAAACCTGACCCACAAACATCACAAAGTCACAACCCTACAAAACTGACCACTCTGCCTCTACTGCCTCCACTGCCTCTACTGCCAGTACTACCTGTACTACCTGTACTATCTGTACTATCTGTAAATAGGCACAGAAGCAGAAAAGGATCCAAAAATCGAATCGTAGCGGTACAGTCAAAGACAGAAAGATGAAAATAATAAAATATATATCGACTCTACTCTGGCGGTTGTTGTTGTCGTCGCGCCTGTTACTGGAAGCAGGTCTGGAAATCTGTGCCAGTAGTGTAGAAAAACTTTCGTAGAGGAGGTTCCGAGTCTTTCGACGCATATCCCTTGGTCTGCACTTTCGCGGACCATTCTGTGGCAAGTTAACCATTTGTTTGATACCCCACCAGTACCTAGCGCACTTTTTGTATCCCCCCGGGTGGAATGAATATGGGCAGACCGATTCGGCTAACTGCGTCAACGGCCCACAACCACCATCAGTAGGTACTGGTGCTTTAAGGTTAAAGGTTCAGCCTGCGTTAGAGAAAAAATCTATTTAAAAAAAGAAAGAAGGTTGAGATCAGTGGTTTTTGCTCCCCTCTGTCGAAGGGTTTTCTTCTCTCCTTTTTTAGTGGTAGACTTTCGCTGATTTTTTTTTTTTTTTTTTTTTAATCGATTTCGGTAATTGATTTTTTTTTTTGGCCTATTGATTTAGGAGCTTTGAAATCTGGAAAACAGTTTTGTTGTGAAAAAAGAAGTTTTGAATGCAGAGGCAAGCTTTGCAAATTTAGGACTTTCAATTTTTTCCGCAAACTTATTTCTTCCTTTGTTTTTTAAATAACTTTTTTTTTTTTTTTTTCAATCTTATATTCTAGGCTACCAGCCGGGCCGCCCGGGTCCCGGGTGGCCAGCCCGTGCAAGGATCAGGTAAGGTCCCAGCAAAACAAAACAAAACAAATCCAAAAATTCTGAAAAAGAAGTATGTTATGCATAAAAGTAAACTGAACAACTTTTGCCTCAGGGTCACATCGAAATCCTTCACCAAATTTAAAATAAAAAATAAAAAATAAAATTCAAAAAGATTTTATTTATTTTTATTTTTTAATTATTTTGGCCCGGCCGGGCAAGTGACCCCGGGCCACTCTGGTAGCCTAGCTTATATTCCAATTCAGAAACTGTAGAGGCCGGGGACCTTACAAATCAACCCGGAGTTGTCCCGGCAGCATCAGCCAGCTTAGCTTAACAATAACCAATCCCACCCAACAAGCGCATTACCAACTGAACATCTCCACCTAGTCCGTACTACTTCCTGACCCAATACTGTCTTCCTACCAGGGTCTAGCACTTCTACATGTAACAGTATCCGTTTTCTTGGTCCTCCCCAGCTCTGACCTCATAGATTTGCTTCAACTCCTCTAATTAACCCGCCCTACTTCTGTCACATTGTTTCTTCCTGTTGTTGTTTTTGCAAATTAAATTACTTCGTTTTTTTTTGTTTTTTTTTTTGCGAATTTTCCATTTCGGATTCTGAATTTTCTCATCTGGAGTGATCTGGAGACCAACGCTGTCATGGAAACCGCCCCCTGTCTATGCGTCGTGACCAAGGTGTCGTAGAGTGTCGGGAGTTTTGTAGAGTGTGGTAGAGTCGCGACCTCTTTTGAGCTTTTGAAGCGGGGCCAGGTTGTAGTCACTTCTGTTCCTGGATTTTTTTTGCTCTGGTCACTTCTGTTCCTGGATTTTTTTTGCTCTGGTCACTTCTGTTCCTGGATATTTTTTGCTCCCAACGCCTGCACGCCAGGTTGAATTGTCTGAGGGATTCCCGGAATCGGTTTATTTATTCGAGCTTTAATGAAAAAAAGCCCAAAGGGATCCCTTGCGTTAAAATTAAAAAAAAAAAAAAAAGCTTTTGCTTTCTTTTTGTCTTTTCCAATGCTGTGCTTTTGTTCTAAGTGTCATTGAAAGGTAAAATATGTCTGGTGAGTGCCAATGCGGCAACGCCCCTATAGCTCAGTTGGTACCCCCCTGCACTGTCGAAAAACAGACGCGAGTTTGAATGCAGATACCCCTCAGATGAAGAGAATAAAATCATTCTCAATTGCCTGGGGCCGATCAATTCAATGATGATATCTAATGGCCGTTGGCACTGTTGCCTTTTTTTTTTTTTTTTTAATAATTGTCTGGTGTCCTTGAAATGATATCTAAAGTCCGTCACCTTAATATATATATATAGTCAAGCAGAGCTGCCTGGTAAACCGTAGGCAGAGAGGGACAAAAGGGAGAAGAGGACAACAAACGAGGGGCTGTGACAAACTGTTTCGGCGGAGTTTCACCGACTCATCAGGAGGCTGAACCGTCCTATACAGTCTGCGGAATCCCCTAACTGATTGAACTGTAAGTGATAATCCACCTTAACCCCGGCTGTGGCTAAGCATCAACGACTGCCCGAGAAGTGATACCCCTAGGGTTGCCAGGCTGAACATACGGAGGCCCCTAAGCTGACACCCGAACGTTCGGGTGTTTGGGTCCCTGTACGGGGCCCGAACCTGAAGGGGTTCGGACCGTGCCAAAAACTATTTTGGCACCTGAATATTATTGTTTTTTTCTGAATTTTGTTTGTGAGTTCTTTGTCATGTAAGGTATCTTCCTCTTAATTTTGAAGTCATTCTGTCCAGCCAAAAAAAAATGAAAAATCCTCAGAGATGGTGGTGTCAAAACTTTCTTGCCCGCTCAGTAATTTGTTTTTTCTCTCTTTTCACTTTTTGTTTTTCCTTTATTTCGGGGCATGAAAACAAATATTATTTTTTCGAACTTGATTTGTAGATTCTTAATCATGTAAGATAAATATATATAAAATTTCATGCCATCTGTCACAGCCAAAAAAAAAAGAAAAATTGTCAAAGATGGCGGTGTCAAAACATGCTCGTGCACTCGATAATTTCATTCTCGTTTTATTTTTTCACATTTTGATTATTATTATTTATTTATAGTATTTGATTTTTATTTCAAATTTGGTAAAGAATGTGGATGTAATGTTGAGGCAAATGTTGTTTAGTTTATTCTTCTGCATAACATATATGTTTTTCAGATTTTTTGGAATTCGTTTTTTTTTTTTTTTTTTTTTGGGTCCGCATTCGGCCGACCGGCCGAACGAGTCGAGAGGGGCTGCCGAACGTTCGGGTGTTCGGCCCGTCCTGAACGCCGGCAACAAAATTGTCTGGTTTCCTTGAGAAAGACAGGTATTCTGTGGGATGCCCCTGAAAGAATAATCTTAGTATTCGCTGCTGAATACCCTACGGGGAGCGGTCTCGATTGCCGAATAGTGGACATGACATCATTCCCATCTGCCATTCTGCGGCGCAGGACATCTTTTCCATATGTCCAAAGGGGGTGCTGGTTCAAAGCGGTCTCATGTGACGAAGAGTGGGTTTGACATCTTTTCCGTCTGCTGCCCCTTTGGGGCGCCGGACATCTTTTTCGTACGTCCATACGGGGCGTGGCATGATTCCTTATGTAGTTTGACAATGACAAGTCATTTTGTGGTCACCTTTGGTTTGCATTCTCTCTTTTCTTATTGGGGTGACTATAGTGGGATTTCAAACTTGTGGACTTCCATTTTTTCAGTTTTTTTAAACTTTTTCATTATCGACAGTCCACTGGCTATAACTTTTGTCAGAACCTTACTCTTCGAGTTTCTTAGCAACTCACTCGGGTTAAAAAAATCACCATTTTTCTATATCCTTTTTTTTTCTTCTTAAACAAGTTTCAATATCTTAGCGACATAACTCACTCGGGTAGTGTTGATCATACTGCATCTGGCTGCCCTTTGGGAACCCCCCCCCCCCCCCCTACACCGGCGGAAATGTTGAGTGCAGCGAAATCATAATAATTCGCATGTCAGGTGGGGTGGTTGTCAAATCCCTCTTCCGCCAGTCGTTTGTACACCGGCGGAAATGTTGAGTGCAGCGAAATCATAATAATTCGCATGTCAGGTGGGGTGGGGTTGGGAGGGGGGGGGGTTGTCAAATCCCTCTTCCGCGAGTCGTTTGTCTATGGGCTTCCTGTTTGCCACTTTGATTGATTTCAAATGAGAGAAAACAACGATCGACGTGCTTGTGCTTGTGTTAAACTGCTACCGTCTTCACCCGAATAGAACGCCTGGTTATTATCGCTGCATCTGGACCGAAAGTTGTGCCAAATACACAGCTATAATGACCGGGTGGCGTTCTGTTCGGGTAAAAAAAGACAGTAGTACCTCTGCCAGTGTTGGGAAATTACAAGTCTTGTTCCCAAAGAAATCAAGGGTGGGACCCAGGGTCGGCACGTCTCATAAATCTTTCTGTTTTTTTTGCCCGCGTGTGAAACGGAGAGGAGGGAAAAAAAAAAAAGCTGTCTGTACTGGAACGATGTCAGGGGGCAGGGTAGAGTCTAGGAGAACGTGCTCAGTCTTCCTCTACAGAATGCATTTTGCAAGCAAAGACGGTCACATTCTGAAACTTTTTTTTTTTTTTTTTTTTGCTTTCTTGTTTGTTTGTTAGGAGTCCCCCTGACAACGAGGCAGGGCGGAATCCGTGATCTGCTCGAGCTGTGTTTCCTCAGACGATTGTAACGGTGATCATACTGACACTTACCAGGAATGTATCCAGCCATTTTCAGGGCCGAATCCATGTTTCCGTTTCTTTTTCTTGTTTTCTGTTTCTGGACTTGTTTTCCGTTTCTGGAGTCTGACAATCTGAATCTGTGATCTGTTCTGGCTGTGTTTCCTCAGAGGATTGTAACCCTGATCACACTGGCGCTTATGGGCCTTGCTGCACTACTCTAGACTCTCGAAATATTTTGAGAGTTCGTCTAGCATTGTCAGAGAGGCGAGACTCTCGAAATAGCCGCCTTCGCTGCACTTACTCTATAAACTGTCACACTAGATGAACTATCCAAGCCCTGCGCGTCGTCCCACTCGACAGAAGAGCTGCACCACTGTGGTAGGGCACAAAGTCTGACCGCCGGGACAGGAGGTCCACTTTCGAAAAACGAGCCCATCGGCGGGCAACTCCCGAGGACACTTGTGAATTCCTGTTTTGCAGGCGGGCTACTCTCGATGTTTCGAGAGTGGCGATATAGAGTGCCCGCTGACAGCTCTCGATCGGGTTTCGAGAGTTTTCCGATCGAGAGCAAGTGCAGCGACGTCCCACTCTCGAAAATTCGAGAGTCTAGAGTAGTGCAGCGAGGCCCTATATCTGCTCAAGCTGTGTTTCCTCTGAGGAATGTATCCAGCCATTTTCACGGCCGAATCCGTGTTTCTGTTTTTTTATTTTTTATTATTTTTATTTTTTTTATTTGTGTTTCTGGAATATGACAACCTGGCCACGGGGCTGAGATGCCCTCACTGAGGGCACACTCACACTGCCACTTCCAGAAGAATGTATACAACTGCAATCACGGCGGCCGGAGCTTTGTTTCTTTTTTCGTGTTTTCTTGTTTTGCGAGTAACAGCCGCAGCTTCTTCTTTTCTTTTTTTGGTTCCCGTGAGAGTACCAAAAAGAAAATGGAGTGGGACCCAGGCGCGGTAGAACTCGGAGTGCAGTGAAATTCAGGGTCGGCAAAAAAATCAGGTTTGGAGGTACTAGTGCTTTAAGCCACAAGTACCTTTGATGTTACAGAAAAATATCAGGCCTCCGACCTTTGGGGAGGCCAAAATGAATCGACAGTCGTCGGTTAGGTTTATCAATGGCAGCTGTCGTCGGGCTCGACCTCTGAATCCTTTGGGAATGGGCGTTTTCACTCATTTCTGAACCGGCAAAGGTAGGCCTCCGACCTTTGGGGAGGCCAAAAGGAATCGACGGTCGTTGGTTAGGTTTATCAATGGCAGCCGTCGTCGGGCTCGACCTCTGAATTCTTCGGGAATGGGCTTTTTCACTCATTTCTGAACCGGCAAAGGTACTAGTGGTTTAAGCGAATCGCTAGCCCGGCCGTCGTCAGGCCCGGCCTCCGAATTCTTCGGGAACGGGTGTTTTCCCTCATTTCTGAAGTGGAAAAGGTACTAGCAGCGTTCACTCTGAGACGGGATCAAACTCTGTTTTTTTATTACAGTGTAATATCTGGAATGTACGATTTAAATTTTGAACCTACGACAACGAGTTTGCCAGTTCCAGTCAATCCAACCTTAGTCAGCTAGTTGAATTACCAATTGGACAATCTACAAGTCGTCGTTTGGAAATACGATGGTTTGTTAACATTTCTTCTACTTCGTCTATGCGACAAGCAAATTGCTGTGAAAATAGTAAAAAAAGCATGGCTACGATCCAACGTCCGGACCGCCGTCCAGACGGTCTGGATTCAGTCCGGACTCCAGACATCCGGTCTGGAAGGTCCGGATCTGCGAAATTTCGAGGGAAAAAAAAAAAAAAAAAAGTCCAGGACCCTTCCCCATTGAGGAGCCAAGTCCCCAAAATTGTTTTGGGGGTTTTTCAGGCCCATTTATGCGTTTTTGGGGGGTCCGGACATGCGCTCTCTATGTCCCGGGTCCGGGTCTGGCGTAGCCATGGAACAAAGATCTTTCGGCGGACTGCGAACAATGTACAAGGAACATGGACGAGATTCACCGGACTGTGCGAATGGACAGCGTATCCCTACACTATTAAAATCACTAAGGGGACAAATCTGAAATCCAGGCCGTTCGGGCCGACGGTCCGGATGTTCGCGCGATCTTAAGACTTTAAGACTTTAAGATCGCGCAAACATATCTGGACCGTCGGGCCTGCCGAACGGCCCGGATCGACGCGCGATCTTAAGATCGCGCAAACATTCGGACCGTCGGGTCTGCCGAACAGCCCGGATCGACTTGCGATCTGTAGGACCAGCCGGTAGGCCCAGGCCGTCGCCGCCCGTTGCAGGCGAGTGGAGGGCGGGAAAACCCTACCGTGGCAACGTTTCTTTCGACCCTACCCTGTTCGTCGAAGGCCTACGCTACCGACAAACGGGCCTACGATGCTCGCTACGCTATCGACAAACGGACCTACGACCTAACGCTACGCGCTCGCTCTACGCCCTCGCTATCGACGACGCCCTCTTTCTCTCTCTCTCTCAACGCCCACTATCGACAACCGGACCTACTACCCTCTCTCTCTCTGTGTCCGGGTCTGTGTTGGGAAAGGTGCTTTCTTTGAAGGTGATGTCGGTGCTGCTTTTTCGAGGTGGACTGGACTCGACTACGTGATGGCCGACTCAAATTAGTCAATTCGTACTCCCTTATTCCCTATCCCCTCTATGTGTGTGTGTGTGTGTGTGTGTGTGAGAGAGAGAGAGAGAGAGGGAGAGAGAGAGGTGCGTGTGTGTGTGTGTGTGGGTGGGTGTGTGCGCGCGCGCGCGTGTGTGTGCGCGCGCGCACGTGTGTTTGTGTGTGTGTGTGTGAGAGAGAGAGAGAGAGAGAACGGGCGGGCCCGCCCGCTCCACCCACCTCCGCCGCCCGCTCCGCTCACCTGCGCCGCCCGCTCCGCCCACCTTCGCCCGCTCTGCCCACCTCCGCTGCTCGCTCCGCTAACCTCCGTCGACCGCTCCGCCAACCTCCACCGCCCATCGCCTCCACCCGCTCCGCCAACCTCAACCTTCGCTGCCTGCTCCGCCCACCTCCACCGCCCGCTCCGCCCACCTTCGCCCGCTCCGCCCACATCCGCTGCCCGCTCCGCCAACCTTCGCCTCCCGCTTCGCCAACCTCCACCGCCCATCGCCTCCACCCGCTCCGCCAACCTCAACCTTCGCTGCCTGCTCCGCCCACCTCCCCCGCCCGCTCCGCCCACCTTCGCCCGCTCCGCCCACATCCGCTGCCCGCTCCGCCAACCTTCGCCTCCCGCTTCGCCAACCTCCACCGCCCATCGCCTCCACCCGCTCCGCCAACCTCAACCTTCGCTGCCCGCTCCGCCCACCTCCGCCGCCCTCCCGCTCTGCCAACCTCCGCCGCTCGCTCTGCCGACCTTCGCCGCCCGCTCCGCCAACCTCCGCCGCCCATCGCCTCCGCCCACTCGCCTCTCGCTCCGCCAACCTCCTCTGCCCTCCCGCGCCGCCCACCTCCGCTGCCCTCACGCGCCGCCAACCTCCACCTCCCGCTCTGCCAAGCTCCGTCGCCCGCTCCGCCAACCTCCACCGCCCATCGTGCCGACCTCCGCCGCCCACTCCGCCAACCTCTACCGCCCATCGCCTCCCGCTCCGCCAACCTCCGCCGCCCATCGCCTCCCGCTCCGCCAACCTCCGTCGTCCATCGCCTCCCGCTCCGCCAACCTCCGCCGCCCATCGCCTCCCGCTCCGCCAACCTCCGCCGCCCATCTGCCAACCTCCGCCGCCCGCTCCGCCAACCTCCGCCGCCCATCACCTCCGCTCCTCCGGTCCTCCGCCGCCCATCGCCTCCGCTCCTCCCATCGCTCCTCCACCCACCTCCGCCTCTCGCCTTCGCTCCTCCGCCCACCTCGGCTTCTCCGCTTCGCCCATCGCCTCTGCTCCTCCCCCCGCCTCCGCTCCTCCGCTCCTCCGCTCTGCCCATCGCCTCCGCCTGCCTCCGCTCCTTCGTTCGCCTCCTCTTCTCCGCCCATCGCCTCCGCTCCTCTTATCGCTCCTCCGCCCACCTCCTCTTCTCTCATCGCCTTCGTTCCCATCGCCTCCGCTTCTTCGCCCATAGCCTCCGCTCCTCCGCCTGCCTCCGCTCCTCCGCCTGCCTCCGCTCCTTCGCCCATTGCCTCCGCCCGCCTCCGCTCCTTCGCCCGCCTCCTCTCCTCCGCCCATCGCCTCCGCTCCTCCGCCCATTGCCTTCGCCCGCCTCCGTTCCTCCGCCCATCGCCTCCGCTCCTCCGCCGATTGCCTTCGCCCGCCTCCGCTGCTCCGCGCCTCCTCTCCTCCACGCCTCTGCCCATCGCCTCCGCTCCTCCGCTCCTCCGCCCATCGCCTTTGCCCCCCTCCGCTCCTCCAATCGCCTCCGCTCCTCCGCCCATCACCTTCGCTCCTCCGCCCATCACCTCCGCTGCTCCCATCGCTCTTCCGATCGCCTCCGCCCGCCTTCGCTCCTCCACTCCTCCACCCATCGCCTCCGCTCCTTCACCCATCGCCTCCGCTGCTTCGCCCATCTCCGCCCCTCCGCCCGCCTCCGCCCCTCCGCACGCCTCCGCTCCTCCACCCATCGCCTCCGCTCCTGCACACCCGCCTCCGCTCCTCCGTGTGCCTCCGCTCTCCTCGCGCCTCCGCTTCTCCACTCATTGCCTCCGTTCCTCCGCCGCGCGCTTCTCCACCGATTGCCTCCGCTCCTCTGCCTGCCTCCGCTCCTCCGCCTGCCTCCGCTCCTTCGGCCATCACCTCCGCTCCTCCGTGCCTCCTCTCCTCCGTGCCTCCGCCCATCGCCTCCGTCGTCCGCTCCTCCGCCCATCGCCTCCGCCCTCCTCCGCTCCTCTGCTAGCCTCCGCTCCTTCGATCGCCTCCGCCCGCCTCCGCTCCTCCTTCCATCGCCTCCGCCCGCCTCCGCTCCTCCGCTCCTCCGCCCATCGCCTCCGCTCCTCCGCCCATCGCCTCCGCTCGCCCGCCGCTCCTCGGCCCCTCCGCCCATCGCCTCCGCTCCTCCGCCCATCGCCTCCGCTCGTCCGCCCACCTCCGCCCCTCCGCCCACCTCCGCTCCTCCGCTCGGCCTCCACCCGCCCCGCCCGCTGTCTTCTCTCCGCCCGGCAAAGACGATTCTTTGGGGAGAGAGAGAGAGAGAGAGAGAGAGAGAGATCTGTTTTCTTTCTTCTTTTCTTCCCCCTCCACACATTGAGAGAGAGAGAGAGGGAGAGGGAGAGAGAGAGAGATTTGTTTTTCTTTTTTTTCTTCCCCCTCCATACATTGAGAGAGAGAGAGGGTGATCTGTTTTCGTCTTTTTCTTTTTCCTTCCCCCTCTATACATTGATCATGTGTGTGTGTGTGTGTGTGTGTGTGTGTGTGTGAGAGAGAGAGAGAGAGAGAGAGAGAGAGAGAGAGA